GTAGCCGATTGCCCTGCAGCCTCAGGGTGAGTAGGCTTTGGAGGCCATGGAAGGCTCCGGGTTCCAGGCTGGACAGCTGGTTGTAGCTGAGGTCCAGCTCCCGAAGCAGGCCCAGGCGGGAGAGCATGCCACGCTGAAGCCCCCACAGGCGATTCCCACTCAGGTCCAGGAGCTCAGTGTCCAGTGGGAGTCCTCCAGGCACAGCCTCCAGTCGCCGATGGGCACAAAACACTGCCCGGGGCTGTGAGGCGCAGTCACAGACAGCAGGGCACCCGCCACAGCTCCCTCCGGGCAGAAGGAGCAGGAACAGGAGAGGGGGCCAAGGGGGCCAGGCTCGCTTTGGAGCTGTGGCCATGGCCATACCCTCTTCAGTCCTGGAATAGATGATGACATGGTCCTTTATGGAAAGTGACTTCAGGTGATGGTGACCCCGGCCTTCCCTGGGCCTCCTTAGAGGAGAGAGAGATGGAGCTATCTGTCTCAGCATTGCCAGTGAGTAGGGTGGAGACCTGGGAAGCACCACTGGTGGACCACTTCCTTGGGCGCCTCCTGGGCCTCCTCTTCAGAGAATCTCTATTTTCTTCCTGCCCCTAGCCCTGGACACCAGGCCAAGTGCTTACTGGCTCATGGAACCCTAGTTGAGCCTGACTCCAGTGGGGAAAGTTTCCTGTGGATGGGACAGGAAACAAGGAAGTAACTCTGAGTATTCCTGTATTGGGTTTTTCCTGTATCTGTGAGATCCAGGAATACCTCTGTCCCTTCTCCCTCCTCCCTACTTGTTCTTCCCAAGCCCTGCCCTCCCACTCTCTGCTGACCCTTGTTCTCCTGTGTTATCTGCCCCAGCTTTTCCCCCCTAGCTCAGGGGGAATCACATCCTTGGATTAAGATTGGAGTGAGGTCCTCACCTTGACTGAGTCCTCCAAGGCTGGGAAACCTGCTCAGCTCTGCTCCCCCAGGCTTCACTTACTGCCCCTCTGCCCTTCTCCAGTCTGGCCTGGGGCCCTGAATGAGCAAGATCCAATCTCCCTGAAATGCCCATGTGGACAACAGCCAAGCCAGCACCTCAGCTACGGTATAGGTTGCAGGGTATAGGTTGCAGTCCCTCACAAGAACCCTAAGGGCGATCCCCTAGTGGATGACACTGGGGTATGTGAGGGACCCAAGGGATGCCCAAGTTTTGAGGTTGTTGCTTAGTCCTTAGTCTCAGGCTTCTCTTCTATTCCTCCTCAATGGTGTTTTTGATTTAGTCCAAGGTGTTAATCTGAGGGAGCTCTCTTGTCCCCTTTGGGCTCAGCTGTCCAAGTGATACACAGGAGACAGGCTGTGAGCCAGGGATGCATAGACAGGTGAGAGACAGCACCCGGCTCGGTGCTGTGGGTGGGGAGCATGAGAGCCCTTGGCTGGCACAGCGATCTCTGTGGGGGAGGCCGTGTGCAGAGCCTGTGGACTGCAAGTGAGTTTTCTGGGAACCGAGGGCCTTGGTAGAATCATGATGATGGTGGGCAGAATGGCCACTGGGGAGTGATCAAGGTGCTAGAGGAGAAGGGGCCTGGTAGATGGTGAACTCACCCTCAGCTTCCCCTGTTCAATGTCAACAGGGCATTGAACAAGGGAGGGGAGGTATTGGAATTGGCAAGTGAGGGCTAAAGAGATGGGACTAGAGACAAGGGACGCTCCCTGGATGTCAGGCTGCCTGGGTTTCTTTCTAGCTGCGGATCCAGATGGCCTTTGGGGCTCCAGGCTGTCTGTGCCCTGCAGGGTCAGTTTTCTCCCACACGCCCCATTTTCTCCCATGTGGAACTTAGAAGAGGCAGTTTAAGAGATGGTAGGACTTCTTCCCATTTGGGGGGATCACATCCCTGGATCCTGATTGAAATGAGGCTCCACAGCCCCCCTTTAGAATGGCTGTTCTGGCGGCGCTCCTGCTGTGGTAGTGGGAAACTGAAGATCAGAGAGGCAGAGGGAGGCAGGACACCGTCCCCAGGCTTGGGATGAGAGAGAAGGGCACGGGGCAGGCCAAGGCTGCTGCTCAGTCTCCTCTTGTCCCCAGCCCAGCCTAGCAGGTATTTCTGGTATGGGACAGACGTGTCCCAGTGTCCCTCATTGTCCCTGTGCCTGTTCTGGGAAGTCCACCCGACAGCTAGCTCTTTATCACAACCGCTGCAGTTCCTGCTCATCCTTTTCGCTGTGCATTCAGCAAAAGTGCAGTGAAGCATGTAACCCAGCTTCCCTTTCTCCTACTCCTGTGAGTTTCCTCTTGGTCCCCAAAGCCTGCTGGGCCAGGGGCTGGGGGATCTGGGGACAACCCCTTTTCTTTATTTTTAAGGTGGCTAATTTAATCACAAACTTCCCTTGCCAGTCTCCATGGCTACAGGACTGGCTTCCAGCCACTTTTGCAGGAAGAAATGGGTGTCAGAACCACTTCTTTCTCTAAATGGGGTGGGGTCTGGGGCAGCATCTCTTCAGGGAACAGGAAGCTTTCTTCTTGTGTCTATGTGGCAGTCCAGAAACACATCTGAACCTGGATTATCCCTTTTAAAGCAGACCTGACCGAGGTGTGGGGACCTGCATGGGGAGAGGGCTCTTGGGGGAAAGATTTCTGGAATCTCCACACTGAAATCTGGGAAAAACCCATCCCAGAGGTAGAGGAAGCACTGGGGAGATGGACGGAGGTCTCCTTAGAGTCCTTCCCTACAGGGGCCTCTGGGACATTTTAGTTTTCATTGAAGTCCAGCGGGGCCAAGATCAATGGCTGGCCAGAGCCAGGAGGGGAGGCAGGAGGGGGTGCTGGGGACAGCTGGTGGGGAGGGACAAGAGGGGCACAAACCCTCCAGCCTGACAGGCATGTTGGTCTAGCCATGTCTCTGAGAATGCTATAGAGAAGGGCAGCTGCAGCCTTGGGACAGGGGATAGGGTCACTTACCGGAGAAGCTGGAGGGCGGCATCAAGTTGGACACTGCATCTGTCTGGGGCTGGGGGCCGTCCCATTCAAGCTGCACCCAAGGGCCGGGGTGGGGGCTGGCTGTACCTCCGGGTGTGTCTCACTCCTCGCCGCCTGCCACCCGCTGCCCGCCCGCCTGCCCACTGTGGCTGCTGTTGCTGCTGCGGCCGCTGCTGCCAAGACCGAGGTAGAGAAAAGAGCCAGAAAGCATTTCTCCTTTTTTTTTTTTTTCCTCTCTCTCTTTTTAAACCAGGCGAGAATGAGTCTGCAGCAACCCTGTTGGTGCAAAATAAATAAATAAAGCAACCAAGGAGGGCTGCAGCAAGCGCCACTACAGGAAGGTGAAGGGGAGGGGAACGCACAGGGAGACTTTGGGGTCTAGTAGGGGTCAGGAGGTAGAGGCAGCCAACAACTCGAAAGGGTCTCTTGTGGACATCCTGACTCCCCCCTGGGGAGCTCTGAGGCTCAGCACCCTCCTCAGGGTTGTCTTTTAGTCTCCCAGATGCAGGGAGAGTCTGTGCAGCCTCTCAGTCTTTATGTCCCCCAGGGGTAGCATTTTTGTGGGGAAAGTTCTCAGTCTGGAACCTCTCCCATGGGGTTTTGTTTGAGACTCCTTCGGTGGGGGTTCCTGAGCAGCAGCTCCCAGGCCTCCCTGGAGGGCTGTGCAGAGTGGGGGCTGCAGTCCTCATGATGTTCATGGGTCGCTGGGTTAGAAACCTGGGTCTCCACACAGGAATGAGACAGGAGAGCAGCTTGTCTGTAATCGGATTTAAGAACCCCTGCCCCTGTCCCTTCCACACATACCTATGGGCTTTAAAGTCGTTTTATGAAGAATAGCACAAGTTGGGGTTTATGTTTAGCTGACTAAACCCCTCCCCTGAGAGGAACACAACACCCCCACATCACTGGCTGTTTATCCCTCAGAAGAGGGCTCACAGTGATTTGTAAAACCAAGAGAAGTTCTGGGGCATGATCACAGCCAGAGACACAGGTGTCTGTCCTGTTCCCTGGTCTCCACCCTGCTGGAGTCGGGATGAAATGACGTCTATTTCCTTTCCACACAATGAAGGATGACTCTTCCAGGGGTCCGTCTGTGGGCATCTGACTGACCAGTATCCAATCATCTCTTCTTCTTTTGGGGTTTCTTGTGCTGACAACTGGGGCTGGGATTGAGTTTGAGCCACCCCAGCTCTAAGGTTGGTGGACTGGTAAACCATGAGAATGTTCTGGGGTCCCTCAGGATTGGGACTCTTTCCTTGAGGCCACTAAGTACCTCTGAGCTGTGACCTCGAGGAAGACAGAAATCATGTTAGGTTAAATGTGTCTACAGAGGTACAGAATTGCAGTTTGAGTTTGTGAGTGTGTTTTTCCTTGTATGTGGATGTGTGTCTCTCCTCAGATTTGTGCTGACGCCTGAAGTCTATTTCTAAAGTGCACAGAAGTGGTTTGAGTTCTAACTATCTATGGTGTTCTTGGCCTCCAATTGTACCCTATCCCTGTACCCAAATGCCATAAAAAAATTATCCCAGCCCCTTACCCCCCTTCCATCCATATTTTCCACATATCCCATTTTGTTGTTATTTTTTGTTTTTTGTTTTAAAGACCCTGGGAGAAGGGCAGGGTGCCCAACCATTTCCTTGCTGAGCTAAGAGGAAGGGGGAAACAGAAAATCTAAAGATTTGGATTCATGTTATGTACAGGTTCTCCTGGGCTTCAGCCATCAGTCTCTGAGCTTGACATATTTCACCAGCCAAAGCCCATGGGGAAATGCAATGAGGTATTTTAAAGTCCTATTCTTAGCTTCTGAGCCCAGAGGTGAGTTCTGTTCATCCAGGGTGTCCTGGATCTGCCTAGTGTCCTGAGGACACCATGGTCCTTCTAGAGGTTCTTATGTGCCACCCAAGGCCTCTCAGAAGCTGGGGGTGAAGGGTCATGGGAAAGGAGATGCAACAAAGCTGAGGCTGGAGATGGTGTTCCTTCATCGCCACCCTCTGGCTCTTGGCCCCACTGCCAGGCAAGCCTGTGGGGGAAAACCAGTCTCAGCAACTGCACACCCCTCAAGAACAGGCAGGGACCACCCTCCGGGGGCACAGGTAAGAAATATGTGAAGGTGGGATGAGATCCGGGGAGGAAGGCCAGTAGGCTGTAGGGAAGGGAAAGGAGTCCCTCCTCCAGGTCACTCAGACAGGCCTTCAGGTGACTCAATTTCAGTGCTGAAGAGTTCCTTGTAGAGTGGAGGAAAAGCAGCTTGGACCACAATGGGGTGGAGATGCTGGAAGGTCTGCAGCTTTTCCACATGCTGGCTACACAGGCTCCGAAGTTTCCCCTTGGGTGGCAGCTGGAGATGGGTTAACAGGGGAGGAGGGTCAGTACTTTGGCCTTCTCCCCAGAGCAAAGATGTCCTCTCCTTCCTGGGCTAGGGCAGCCTGCCTTGCTTTCCCCTCTGCACTTGGTACTGGAAGAGGGGCTGGATAAGAGTCCATCACAGGGGGGTTATGTGTTCAGGAAACCGGAGGCAAACGAGGGCTGCTGCAGGACAGGTGTGTGTTTTCTGAGTGAACCCCCCCCCCCCCAATTACATTCCTGCTATTCCTAAAATGCACCCTGGTGAGTACTCTAATTCGCACTTTCTGCTCTTAGAAGAGTGATGCCCTGCAGCTCTGTTGTAGTCCGTCACACGCCCCTGGGACCTTCCTTGATGCTGTTCTCCTCACCTGGAATACCTTTCCGATCCTTCTTTGCTTGGCTAATAATTCCTCACTTTCAAGTGTCCCCTCCTCTGGGAATATTTCCCTAACCTGCATGGGGTGCCTTTCCTTTGGGCTTCCCTCTGTGTAGTAGCACTTAAACCCCATTTTAGGAAAATGGTCTAATTTGTTTGCCTTCCCACCCTAGCTAGGTTTAATTTCCTTAGGTAGGGTCTCTCCTTGTCTCCCTCTCTCCGTTTCCCTCTCTGTATCCTTTGTTCCTGTCATAATGCTTGGCACATGACAAATGCTCAATACCTCTCTAAATTATAAATGGTTTCCAAGCAGGTACCCAACACCACCAATACTCAGCCAGAGGGGAACAAAAGAGGCCCAGAGACCCATGAGGAGACACAGGCAGGGAGACCTCGCTGGAGAAAGGCTGAAAAAACCATTCAACCTCTGCAGCTTCCTGTATAACTAAGCTGGGCTTGAAAAGACCGCTCACTAGCTGCTCCCTTTTCCCCCCACTTAGTTTCCTAGGAAAGGGGCAGTCAGAGAAGACCAGGCACATAGATCTCTTGATATCTCTTGGATTCATTGTCTTCTCATTTCTGCTGATTTAGTCTGAGTTTGTCCGGATTGCCACAGTAGCTTCATCTGCCATCCGTTCATCACTAACTGTTGAGAACCTACTCAACTAGGCACTGTGATGGGCTACGGTGATAGGTCACTGGATAAAATAAAGTATAATAAAATAAAATAAAATATCTAGCTTTATTAAATGCATATTCTAATGAAGGATCCAGAAAACAAATATATAATAAGTTTGAGAATTTCTTAAAAAACAGTACTGCCGGGTGAGGGCTTTTTGCCTCAGGCGGTCAGGGAAAACCTCTCCAGAATGAAGAGATGGAGCCATTTGGAAGACTGGGGAAGAACTTTCCGGGCAGCGGGAACAGCAGATACAAAAGCCATGAGATGGCACGTGTGTGTGATGTGCTGAAGGAATGGCAAGGAGGCCAGTGCTGCTGGAACAGATGACTGAGGGGTCGGTGGGAGGAGAGGAGGTGAGAAAAGAAGTTGGGGTCATATCGTGCATGAGGCCAGTGAGCTATGACAGACTCTCGGGTTGCCTCTCAGCAGGATGGGTGGCTACAGCAGGACTGAAACCTGTGCTAAATGGCTCTCCTGCAGGATGGCCGAGCAAGGACTGGGGGACCTAACAGGCCACAAGAGAACACTTGGGGGTTAAGTGTGATGGTGGAGGGTTTGTATTCTGAAGGTAGAGCCAACCAGATCTGCTTTCCAGCTGCGCTCCCAGGCTTCAGTCTCTCCTTCCAATCCAGCCGACCGGACTCGAAGTTCTTTAGGACTTAGAATGTTGTGTAAGTCATCTCTTTATCCTCAGCACCTAGCACTCACTGTGCCTGGCACATAGCAAGGGCCCATTGCTTGAACGATTACATAAATGGTTCCTCTACGCGGGTTCCAAATTAAATTGCCTAAATAATAGCTCTGATGATATCATTCCTCTAGCCTTCGGAGCTCTCCATTGCCTGGAAATAAAGCCTTCATTCTTTAATATGGCACTGGAAGTCCTCTCTGATTTGTTACCTGACCTAATTTCAAGACTGTCTTCTGCTACTTCCCTGCCCTCATCAATGCCAGCTCTCAATCTTACACGTTAGAATGTACCACGAGCTATTCCCCATATATGTGCTATATTGCCTCCTTATTTTTGCCAATGGTTCCCACAGCCTGGAATGCTTGCCCTACCCCCATGAATGTCTGTTAAAATCTGACATACTTCATTGCCAACCTTAAATGCCACCTTCCTAGGAAGCGTTTATGACCCACTCCTTTTACCCCGAATTATTTTTAATTCCTGTTTTATGCTGTAATAACATTCCCCCACTATCTCTTATTGAAGTAACCTATGAGTGGTGCAGGGATATGGTAGGAGAGCCCTGGGATTAAATCTTACATTTATTACTTATCAATCGTGCAAATTTGGACTAGTTGCTTAAGTCTCTTCATCACTAAAAGGAGGTTTTAATACCTGTCCCATTGACTAAGCTGCCCTTAGGATGACTGCACGTCTGGGACAGCAGCATCTTGTTAATTGCATTACTACTGTATCACATACCGTAGGCTACTCTATATTAGAGTCACTGGTACACGAGCCTCTTTGTACCAGACCAGAAATGCTCAGTGAGGGCAAGGACCGCCTCTTGGGATCTTGCCATTCCACAGTGCCTTACACAAACAGGTGCTGAGTGAGTCTTGGCTATATTAAACCAAATTATTTCCTGGCAGTCCCTCCCAATTCCAGGTTCTCTTAACCTTCCGTCTGTATGCACGTCTCATCCCCTTGGTTCCCAAGCTGCTGCAAGCTCTCTTAACACAACATGACACTCAAGGGCTTCCTACCCACAACCTTGGAGCCTGGCCCTTGCCAGTCCTGGGGGCCCTGCTCCTGCACTGGACCTGACCTCCTCCACCTCAGGGACTGCTCCTACCTTAGCCAGAATGCCTTGGCGGTGAGTCTTGCAGAGATGGTGATGAAAAGCCAGCTCCAGGTTGTGCTGCAGCTGCTCTACTTTCCTTTTCTCTTGGAGCCCTGGCCGGTCTGAAGGAGGGCATGGGACCATAGTGAGAACAAGAAAGAACACGGACGTTAACGGCCCCCAGAAGGGTGTATCAGTTTGGACATCTGTGCTGGATAGTGGCCTTTTCGGCTGAATGTGTACGCACGTGCATGTGCATCCTGGTTTGGTCATGAGAAGCTCTGGAGCCTGGGGCTTGGCTAGCTGTCTACAGGGAAAGCTGGGGAGAGATGAAATGGATAAGGACATCCAGTCTCCTGGGGAGCCTGGGTGGCTCAGTCAGTTAAGCATCTGCCTTCAGCTCAGGTCATAATCCAAGGTCCTGGGATCAGGCCACGCATCTGTCCCCCTGCTCAGTGGGGAGCCTGGTTCTCTCTCTCCCTCTGCCTCTCCCCCTGCTCCTTCTCTCTCTCTTGCCTTCTCTTTCTCAAATAAAACCCTTAAAAAAAAGTAAAGACATTGAATCTCCTGACTCCAAGCGGCCTTCTCCCTGGTACCCTGATATTTCACATAGCCCATTCAATGCTCAGATTCCACTATGGGGGGAAAAATGAGAGGGAGCCCTGTCTCCTGGCTAAGGATGAGCCTGACAGCAGGTGGCCCTGCTGAAGCCCTAGGCCAGCACCAGGGCCTCTGCAGCCATCTGGGGCTAATTTCAACAGACAAACCACCTTTTGCCCTGGCTTCATAAAACGGCCAGAAGTCATCTTTTAAGTCTTTATCTCTAGTTCGAAGGGTGTGTTTAGGTCTCTACCCATTGGCAGAGTCAGACAACAGATAATCTTGATGGGCAAACTCAGGTTAGTAGCTCGACCCACTTCTCCGAGTTCTCCAAATACTTAGCCTTCCCCAGCTCAGCCCAGCCTGCTCTGTTCCGGGGGGTGGGCCCCCCGAGTCCTGCCATGACAGCGCACAGTCCTCAACCCAGCTTACACAGAGTAGTGATCCCCACGCATATGGCAATCTCCTGCGGGAGGCTATAAAAAATCCTGGTGCTCTGGCTATTCCCCAGATCAATGACCTCAGAGTCTCTGGGAGTGGAGCCCAGAGAAGAATCACTTTTTTAAAATCTCCAGGTCATTCCAGTGTGTGGCCTCACTGAACTGACTGACATGAGAGCTCAGGAGCAGACAAATCTCTCCCTGGGAAGTGGCGCCCTTCCTCACCTCCTAACAGCTCCCCGGCTCCCCATTTCTCCAAGCCCATCTTGGAGGGTGTTTCCCTCCCTGAGGCTCCTCTGAAATCTACTCTCTGCTCTTTAAAGCCATTTCCCAGATTTAACCGCATTTGAAGGTCCAGGCCCTTCAGCATCCGTCTCGCTCCAGCCACCTGCATGTCCCTCAGGCAAGCCCAGCGACACTCACTGGCATTGATGAGCACTAGTGCTGTGTAGAGAGCGATCTCGTCCTCAGAAAAGCGCAAGGAGCTCAGGGAGCGGGAGAAGTCGAAGATGGAGCTGATAAGCTCACTGCAGCCTGAGAGAGGGAAAAACCAAAGGATGAGCAAGGTAGATGAGGCCATGGCACCCGAGGACACCCGCCCTCTTGGTGTTGGGAGCAGGGGGGGTGATTTGCCCTGAAAAGAGGGAGCCTGGGTCTTGAAGCTTTAGATGGACTTGGCTATCCAATTCTGGTCTCTCTCATTTCCCCCTGCCCCTCACCCAAGGCTCGGAACAGCTCCATGCCACCGTATTTGCCTTCGAAAAAGACCGTGTGGTTGTCAGCGTTGTAGGCCCGGCACATCCTGACCAGCACCACTTCCATTGCTCCTGGAGAGGGGGGGACAGGCAGGCAGGAGTCAGGCGGAGCCAGGGAGCTGGCTAGGTGCCCCTCCAGGGTCCTGCTTTCCCTAAGCCACCTCCCTCTGCTCAGCCCAGCCCCACTGCATGCTCTCTCCCCCTCCCTCCAAGCCTGCCCCCAGTCTCCAGGCACCTGCTTTGAGAAGCACAATCTGGTCATTCTGGCAGAGCTCCATAAAGCCCGAGAGCCTCTTAGCGAACTCCACCACGTACTGAATGGCCTCGGTGAGGCGGTGGGCACAGCGTTCCCACATCTCCCACATGGACTGCAAGGAAGGAGGAGGGTCCCACTGTAGCCCCGTTTATGACCCTGTCACCCTCCCACGCCCCTGGGAGCCCAGACTGATAAACTGCGGGCGTGAGGTTCAGAACTCCCACACTCTCCACTCTGGCATTTTCAGCCTATTCTCAGCACAGATGCACACTCGGGTCAACTCCTGTCATTTGGTCCCACTCACTGAGCACCCATCAGCCACTGGCACCAAGTTAGCTGTCGTGGGGAAATGAAAAAAAAATCTGAGATGCAGCTTTGCCCTCAAAGGGTTTGTGTTTTGTTGAGGTGAGAAGCACATACTGACCCCTCTCCCCGTAAAGACCTGTAGAGCAGGAAAAACTGAATGCCCAACGAGTGTTTTTTAGAACAGGTATGATAGGCAAGAGCATAAACTTTGGAGCCCGGTGGATCTCAGTGTGCCTGTGGCTCTGCTACTTTATGACCTACGGTAAGTCTGTTGACTTCCCCGAGCTCAGTTTCCCAGTCTGTTAAATACAGAAATAAATGCCAGCCTCGGTTGCTGTGGTGAGGGTGGAGGATCATTTCTGGGAAGCGTGCATTTAGCACAGTGCCCGGCAGAGAAGGGGTGTTTAACAAATGGGAATCAGGTTTCTGACTACTGCTATCACACAGAGGGGACGGGGAAGGAGAGTGTACTGAGGGCTGTACACACCAAGGTCTGGGTGCTGGCAGAGGTAGGATGAAGTCCAGGCAAAACATAAATAGGAGAAAAGGAAAATCTATCCATCTGCTACACATAGACACGTAAGCACACACACACCCCAGACTTAAAAGCAGGTACACACTTGTGTCTGTCTGCTTCGCCCCAGTCCACTTGCATGTGCAAGTAGCCATCTCTTACCCTCCCCCCAACCCCTCCCACATGGTCTCCTGGCCTCACCTTCGTCTGGTAGCCGGCCACCTCCTCCCGGGAGAAGATGTTAGGGCGCTGCCGTAGCAGGTCCTCTAGCCGCAGCTGACATGTCTCTCGGTAGGACTTACAAACGTTCTGCACCAGGTGTTCTGGGGACAGAGGAAGGCACAGGCTTCATCTCAGCCAGCTGCGACCCTACCCATACTCGTTGGGTATGACCTTGGCCTATCCTTGGCCTGGCCCACCCCTGTTCTACCTCCCACCCCTCGGTCCCTCAGCTCCCTGGGGCTCATGTTTGGTGTACACAGGGTGCTGACTAGGGCCCCTCTCTTGGAAGCCCCTCCCTCATCATCCCTTCCCTCTCCGCCACCCCATTGCTCACCAGTCTCTGTCAGGGAGGCATAAGGCCCCTCTGGGGCGCTGTGGAAACTGAGGCTGCAGTAGCTGTCCAGGCCCCGTCCAGGTTCCTCAAGCCCAGGATGCCCAGCATCCTCAAAACGAAGTCCACATCTGTCAGGGCTCAGCTGGCTGCCTGTGCTGTAGAAGCCCTTGCCAGCCTCAGCCTTGCCCCGCTCAGGACTGTATTCCAGGTGGTATGAGGCCCCGTCAGGCCCGGCCTTGGCCAAGCTGCTGGGGTAGGAAGACCCGGAGCCCGGGGCTCTCAGGAGGCCAGGGGGGCAGGCCGCGGCCTCAGGCAGGTCAGGTGAGGAGCCCAGGGGCAGCTGCCCATCAGGGAGCCCTATATGACAGGCGAGGGGGTCGGCCCCCTGGCCCCCCGCTGGTGGGGTCTTGGCCACCTGTCCCCGCTGCTGCTGTTGCTGCCGCTGAAGCTGTTTCTGCACCTCGGCGTGCAGGCTGTCCCTCTGCTTCTTGGACATGCGGCCGAACTTGACAGCTGAAAGAGGTCGGGAATCAGGAGTTCTCAAGGCAGGAGCTCGGGGTACAGGACAGCATCGACAGGCATTTTGATCATTACAGAATTCACTTGCTGGTCCCTGAATAGCTGGCTCCAAGCAGAGCTTCTCCAGTGTGGCCTAAGAACCTCCCCTGGGGACCCCCAATTTTGCTTGAGAGCCCTTCCACCTCTTGCAGGTGTTTGCCGCGGGCTGTGTCCAGCCCGGTCTCCCAAGCAAACTCTCCCAGCTGGAAACCAGCTTCTGCTGGTAGCAGAATTCAAGCAGCAAGTCTGGACTGAGGACTCTGGCCTCCTGATGTCGGGGCTGGGGGTGGTCGAGTTGGGGGCCTCGAGCTGTATTGGGGTCACCTCGCCTGTCTAGGAGGGTCGGAGGAAGAGGAGAGCTGAGAACACAGGTCTCCCTGTGGTCAGGCCTGCAGGCTCCCTGGTGACCTAGATACTCACCACAGCCCAACCCAGGCTCCGCGGCTTGTTTCTGAACATCCTCTTCTGCTCTCTCTTTCCTGCCTTTTCACTACCCCCCACACCCCTCCCAGGTGTGGGGGCACAGCCCCTCGCCCCGCCTGCCCCTTTGCACCCCTGCGTGTTTCCTTTCACTTTGTTATTTTGGGCGCTGAAAAGTGCTGACAGCCTCTTTCTGGCTCCTCCTCACCTCATGCCTCCCCCAACCCCACCCTGGGCTCCCTCTGTGGTGGTGATGGGGGGCTGCACTGAGGTGGTGGGCAAGGGCTGAGGAGAAAGGCCTCAGGAACTACAGCCCTCACCCTCATGCCTTCCAGGTGGTTCTCAGGCTGACTCTGGCTCCAGTCTTTAGCCACTGTCGTGTCCTAGCAAGGGGATGGGGGTCTGGGGGGATGGAGCTAGTTCCGGAGCCATGGGGCAGGAGGGAGTGTGGAAGCTGGATGGTAACTGGGCCACAGGCAAAGGAAGTAAGGAGAATCCATCCCAGAAAGAAGGAAATGAGGAGCCTAGGACATTGGGGGAAGGAGGGCTGTTCTAGCAGAGCCTACAGTTGGGGACCACGAAGAACTTTGCTGAGGTGCACCCCCACGATGCGTGGCCAGCCCATGCCCCATGGATGGAAGGACATTTCTAAGGGGCAACCTCTGCCTAGCACAGCAGGCCCGCCTGCCTCTTTGGAGACTCCAGGGAAACCCCAGGGGGCTGCCTGCTTGGCCTCACCATCTCGGGACATGCCCAGTGCCAGGCATTTCTGCAGGCGACAGTGCTGGCATCGGTTTCGGCTGGTGCGGTCGATGGGGCAGTTCTGCTGGCGGGTGCAGGAGTAGACCACATGGCACTGCTGGCTCCGGCGGAAGAAACCCTGGGGAAGGCAGGCAGAGACCTCAGTTGCCCATCCCGGCCAGCCCCAGCTCTGTCCCCAGGGCTTCCAGCCCAGGTTCTGGCCCCAGCATTCCCAGACCCCACGACCGGTCCGTTTTCTCTCCTCCCTTTCTTAGCAGAATTACGACTTGCCACACAGTCATGTCCCCAGATTACGAAGAGGCCCTCCCGACTCAGGCACTGCTCCAGCAGCCCCCCAGCTGCCTCAGGAGAGTGACCCGGAGTCAGAACAAATGCCACAGAAAGAGAACAAAGCCCACATCACCCCTTCTGTCCACCGTGGAAGAGAAACTGTGCGCGAGTGTGCCTGCTTGTGCATGCTTACCTTGCACCCCTCACAGGTGATAACCCCGTAGTGGATCCCAGATGACTTGTCCCCACAGATTTTGCAAGGAATGACTTCAATTTGTGCTGAAAGAGAGAAGGAACAGGAGGTCAGCCCAGGGACCTGATCCGCCTCCTACCCTGCGCCTCTGGGCTGTAGATACAGGTACATGGTGTGTCCCCACCCTGTTCCGGCTTGCTCTACCGCGTCTTGCAAAATGGAAGAAGGGCAGTGCCAGTGCTGCCCTGCAAAGGGTCTGGGGAGGCCGTTTTCAGTTTCACAGGGCAACCAGGAGCTGTCTCAGCTCCATGGGGGCAGAAAATGCAGCTGCAGAGAGGACACCTGCTCCACCCTTGAAGTTGAAAAGCTCCAGTCACCACCCTCCCTCCTGAGGACCTAGGAGTTCTTGCTGATTAACAACACCTGCTTCCCGCCCAGGGGGCTTCCTCTAGGCCACCCTCCCCCACCAGGCTTTGCTCCCATGGGCAGAGGGTGAGGCGTGGGGGTGGGGGGAGGAGATGTGGTACGTTAAGGCAGGAGGCCCCCGGGGACCAAATAGAGATGCTGGCCATGCTCTGGCTGTGCTCGGCTGGCAGTGAAGGCTCAGGGATGGGCTGGGCAGTGACCAGGGCCAAGAGGATAGGGTCCACCGAGTAGGACCCAGAGAGGGTAAGGAGGAGTGAGATGGAGCCCAGGAGAGGGCTCAACAAGCCAGGTCTGTCAGATACTGAAGAATCAAACAGGACGCTGAGGCCCCAGGCCCTGGAGCAGAGAGTGGGCAGCTCTGCGTGTGTGCGCCCATGAGAGTGCCTGTGTTTATGGGCCCAATCACATGTGCGCCAATCATGAATGTTAACTCTGGCTGGGACTAGAGACCATCTCATGCAACCTTTGTCCTTTCCTTTCCTTTCCAGGTGGAGAGATAGACCAGACAGGGTAAGGTGGTTGGCCTGGAGTTCGTGCAGCTAGTTTCCCCCAGAGCTGGGTCTACACTCTATCTCCCCTGCTTTCCATTATGCTATTCCTTATACCTGGCTTTGGGGTCCATATGCCAGTGGGCATGTATGAGGGTGTGTGCACACAGGGAAGGTACATTTGTTTGTTAGCCAGCAGGCACAGTTGCCTGTTGGTGTGTTAGTGTTTGTTCATTGGCCAGTAGGACCCCCGGCTGCCCACTGAGCCCACTGTGGCCTTTCAGGGCTCCAGATTCTTCTCCTCTACTTTGCCCTATCCCTTTCAATGCCCAAAGCTCTCTACTGAGTTTCAGGGACCAGCAGTTGGGCTTCTCCCAGCTCATCTTTGAAGGGGAGTTGGGATTCCCGCTATGTTAGGGATTTTTATCCATCCCAAGAGGACAAGGGTCTCTTCTCTGCCGTGGATGCCTTGCTGCCTCCTCTTTGAGCAGGGAGGCTGAGTCCGAGCAGGCCAGAAAAGTGATCTAAGCCCCCAGCCCCAGGTCATCTCTGACTGGTCCCCAATTGTGTCCCACCGTGAGGGTCAGTGGAGGCAACAGGTTGCCTGTAGGGCAAGCCTGTGTTCCGTTGAGCTTACCTCCGGCCCAGGCCTGGACCCTGGTCCTGCAAAGGGCCTCCTGATGTGAGGTGGGGTGGGGGACGGTGGCTTGCCCACCACCCCATGGAATTTTGTTTCCCTCATCTTGAAACCATTGTCCCCTCAAGCCAACTTGGATCTGAGTCAGAGTAAGCAGCTGCCTTCTCCTGGGGGACAAGGCCCATGGGTGTCTGCAGTTCCTTCACGAGAAGTCATTTCTTTCCCCAACCTCAGCCCCCACTTGCCTGCCCAACATCCACATAGGAGGCTGTGATCATCATGGACAGATGGCAAGAGAGCCTTTCAGATTCTTCCCAGTAAATTAAGAGCAGATTGGAATGCATGGAAGGGAAGAGAGAACAAGAGGGGACCGGTAGCTGGAAAGGGGGCAGAAAATGTGGAGGCACCTGCATGTCAAGTCACTTAGATTCTCTAGGCCTAGGTTCCCTTGTCAGTGAAATCAGGATTAAAAAAGAACATTGCTGGGGCGTCTGGGTGGCTCAGTGGTTAAAGCCTCTGCCTTCGGCTCAGGTCATGATCCCAGGGTCTTGGGATCGAGCCTCACATCGGGCTCTCTGCTCAGCAGGGAGCCTGCCTCCTCCTCCTCTCTCTCTCTGCCTGCCTCTCTGCCTACTTGTGATCTGTCAAATAAATAAAAATCTTAAAAAAAAAATAAAGAACATTGCTTGTCTGTGGGATGATTGTAGATAGGACAATAGGTGTGATGACATTACCTGCGGAAAACACTGTGTTTAAGAGGCAAATTCTATGTATGCTGTTACTACAGAGCACAGCTGAAAGTGAAGAAATGCAATGGGAACCTGAGGCCCAGCAGAAGCCTTATGCCCCATAGAATCTGTGCTTGCTCGACACCTTCCCCTCCCAGCAGTGTGGGTCTCTCTCCACGGTGGCCCTCAGCTCAGAGAGGGGAGAAACCAACGTGGGTCACCCAAAAAAGCAAGCAGAGGGGAGATTAGGCCAAGCCACAGTGGGAACTCGGACTCTAGCCCAGCAGTCAACCACAGGCCTCCTGGCCTCTTCCCTTCTCCCAGAGCCACATCCGCGTGCGTGTGTGCGCCAACCACACAGGTGACCCAGACCCATCTCTCTCTGCCCCACACCTGACCCACAGCTGGTCCCAGCCCCAGGAACCTCACAACGCTGTGAACCAGGCCGTGCTCTTCTCATGGGATGGTGTAGCCGGCCATGGACCCCTTCACAAATACCTGTGCCTGGGGGGATGCTGGAGTCTGGACCCCAGCCACCAGGCCAGCCAATCTTCAGGGTTCCCCAACCACAGGCCCCCAAGACAGAGGTACACAGTGAGGTAGGAACATGGAGTCAGAGTTTCTGAGCTAGAGGGGTCCAGACCCTGTAGCCTCTGAGCTAGAAAGACCAAGAGGCTTGGGATTGGCAGGCAACAGAGATTTAGACCTTGAGATGGAGAAACAGGGGTAGCGACACAGAAAAACCCACAGTGAGGTCCCAGTCCCAGTGCCCTGCGCCTGGCCCTGTGTGTAGCATCAGGCCCTCTGCTCCCACTGCTCCCTCCTTCCCCTGCCACCTGTACCTCGTTCAATGCCATCTGCCCGAAACCTCAAAGAGAAAGTACTGGTGTGCATGAGTGTGACTTCTGGAGGCGGGGAGGGGAGAGGATGGGAAGGGCTGGCAGAGGTGACAATGGGCTGAGCAGGGGCTGAAAAACACCTCGGATCCCTCACCTTCACAGCCTACCCCTGAGCCCCTGCCTGAAGCAGCAGGTGATGGGAACCCAGGTTGGGGAGGGGGAGCTGAGTAATCACAGGATTACTCAAACTGTTGTGCTGGAGCCTGGCCTGCCAGGAACTTACCATCTAAGGGCCTGCGGGTGCCAGGAACTCGAACCAAGCAAAGGTCAGGGCTGTCTAGGCCAGCCCCTGTGGCCCCCGCTGCTTCGCTGCTTCGGGAAGATCTTTGTATCTCATTGTTGCTCTCTCCCGGGGGCCCAGCAAAGGAAACTCTCACACTCCCAGGAGACAGAAGTGCCTCCTTGCTCAGGAAGGCTCCCAAGATCACCTAGGGACTTTGCGATTCTAGCCCTTTGCGTTTCACACAAGATTACCAAGGGATCTTGTGAACGTGTTGTGAGAAGTTCCCTTCTCAGGTCTGGGGGCCCAGATTGTGCATTTGGACAGGCTCTGGTTGGTGCCCACTCTGGCTGGTCGTCAGCCTATGCTTTTGAGTAGCAAGATTCTGGGCCCTCTTGAGGCTTTTTGGGTCAGGCTGCTCCTCCTGGGGGGTGAGGGTGGGGTTGGTCCTCTCCTGCCCCAGTTCATTCTTGTGTCTTCAACCTGGGAGACCTCTAAAGAGAGGTCTAAAGAGACCTCTAAAGCTTCAATTCTGAAAGGGTGCTGGGGAGAGAAAAGGAATCTCTTCTGGATTGCTTCAGAGACTGAAGTATCCCCAAGGAGCTTGCTCTGCACGTCTCCTCTGTGGGGAAATCCGGTAGCAACAAAGTGGTCTATCTGCCCCTCCCTCCAACCCCTCTAATCTCGCCCTTCCCACAGCTGTGAGATTGATTGATAGTGCTCTCACCTTAGGAAGCCAGCCGTGAGCCTTGTCCAGGTGCCCTATGCCACAGAGAGGAAGTGGTGGGAGCAAAGGAGGGGCTCTAATCCATGGGGATCTCTCCCCTCAAACCCCAGAGCCTCCCCTAGCCCTGATGGTGAGTGGGTGCAGTCAGAGGAGCCGTGGGGTCCTTAGCTTCTCCTGGTGCTTTGTCAGTCTCCCGCTGGGCCTTCCTTCTCTTCTCTTTCTCTCTCCTTTTCTCCACTGGACAGTGATTAAGGTGGGATGGTAGTGATAGACATCAGCCTTGGCTGAATTCTTACTCTGTGCCAGGCTTTCCATATGTGTTTCCTTAATGATTATGCCAACCCTGGGAACTAGGCATTACTTGCCTTGTCCCCGTTTCACAGATGAGAAAGCAATCTGAGCGGGCATAAGTGGCTTGACTACGGTTACAGAGTCTGACGTGGCATATCTGGCATTTGAACCCAGGTCTTTGTACCTCGAGAGCCCATGTCCCCAACCGTTAAGCTACACCCCCTCCAAGGATGAGATGCCCAAATACATCAAGGAGATGGGATAGGGGACAAGATTATTGGCTGCAGAGGAAAATGTGAAGTGTGGAGGTGGGCTGGGAACAGAATTCAGAGAGGACCCCCTGTGGAACTAAAGCTGACACTCGTGTCTAGTGTAAAGACCCATGGAGACATGGCTCCCTCTGTCCCAGCTCTTCCTCTCTGGAGCCCACTTCCTCCTGCCTTTACTCATGTCTTGGGGCAGGCTTCCAAGGCCAAGGTGGAACAGCTTGCCTGACCAGCAGAGCTCCTTCAGGGGTGTGGACTGGCTTTCATACATCTTAGTAGGCCTCTGCAGAGATGAATGAGTGAATGGGAAAGAGGAATGCATCTCTTTTCTTAGTTTAGCTCCTCCCAACCCCCCACCAGCACAGAGACCACAGCTCAGGCCAGGGGTCCCCTGTGTACCCCAG